TTTAGGGTTCGTTCGGTAAAAAATCATTCTCCGTTACAGGAAAATTATTCTCAATATTGAACAATCATTCACGTTCACTGGCGTAATTTTTTATGGAATGCAGGGTGAATTAGACAGTTTTGGCGCAAAATACCGTCACGTTCGGTGAATTTTCACGGGCCACCCTGTTAGAAATTTTCGTCTGAATCAAGTTCCACTGCAATTTCAGGAAATCTTGTCATTGAAAAATCAAATATTCCATTAATTTTCTGTTCGAATGATCTGAAAATCAGTAAAATACTTGATTTTTCAGTTCAATTATTCTTTGAAAATTCAGAAACATCAAGAAAATTCAGGGAAAAATTGAAAATTTATGTCATGCTGTTTCTGAATATTCACGTTTCATTGAAAATTCAATCAAGTTCTGAAATTTCGAACTCACTCCCACTGAAGACTCATGAATTTCCGTGAATTCTACTTAAAACTTGAAATTTCATAACCATTCTTTCTCTAAATCCGATTCAATGTCAGTCTCATGAGATTTACCATAACATCTTCCATGAAATTTCAAAAAATTTCACTTCGCTACTGATTTCAAAACATTTTCAAAATTCTTGTAACGAGTTTTCCGCTTGTTGATGTTAATGAGAAAAAAGATGTTATTATTTCCAAATCGATAATACGAGGTAGAGAAGTACGACGCGCACCGGTACCGGTATTCCATTTATAACATCAATTAGCATGGCAATGAGGCATTCACGATGAAAGGAGTCCGCGCGGTAACAAAGAAGAATGATGGACAACGTAATAACACAAAAATAACAACTAAAATGTTGTATTAAACTTGATGGATATGTAGTTGCCGGTAAATGAGATTCGTCTATGTACCCCGGGAAAATTGCCCATTACCCGTCATTCATCTTTCCATGAACAAAAAATAATTATGAATAATAACGAATTTTCATTATGTCCTCAGTTCACTGTTTACAACTTTGAACAACGTTTCTTTCAGGCCTTTTTTTTTCATTTCACTGTCAAATAATCTCTCTCTCTCCCATCCAGACTTTTCTCAACGTTTTATACTGCCCTCACTGGGCAAAGTTACGGCGGCCACAATGAGATTTACAGTTTCGAGTCGAAACACGACTTTAACGATATTTCGAAATACAATTTGTTTCGGTTAAGTGTCGGTGGGGGCTGAATGCTGAATTACGAATGCCTCGGTACGGCTTTTTTTCAGACCTCAAAACAAAGAGTTTAATGTTGGATGGGAATTTAAGTTGTTTAGAATGATTAATTAATGAAGTGGGAATTGAAATGGGGCGAAATGCATTTGAATAACTTAAAAGTGATATTTCCATTCTTCGCATAGTATTTAGTGTCGAGAATTTATGTGAAGTTGTTCTCCAGAAATTTCAAGAAATTATGTTATTGAAAATTTATAATTTTCATGAAATAATTCAACTAGAATTTACAATTTTCATTAATTTTTTATTAAGGTTTGAATTTTTTAAGATGAAATTCCTTGCAATTCTTGCAGTTCATGAATGGGTTTTCAATAATTTTTATTCGGTTGCTAAAAAAAACGGAATTTCATTGAATTTTCCGCGAAGTTGGAAACTATGATTTTTTGCACTAAATGCAATGTCACTTGCTGCTAAAGTGTCAATGAAATTTCAAATTTTCCGGTGTATTCGGTGCTCGGTAATTAGTGAGTTTACGAGGTAGTATCGGGAGACTTCAATTCCAAAACAGACAATGATAAAGGCATTTGCATTCAAAATTGTAATCGTAATTATAGTTGTAAAATCAAGTATTTGAGAGTTTTGAAAGAAGTTAGAAGTTTTCAAATTAATTCTAATCAATTCCAAATTTATTAAGATTATTAATAAACTAAACTGTATTAATTAACAAAAAAAATAATTGAATTACCCATTAAAGATGGATTATCCAGTGATTTTTTTCTACGATTTTTATAAATTATCTCCATGAGATTTCATGCCATGAAGTGGTTTAGATTCTGTCGAGTAAATTAAAATTAAAAAAATCGAAACCAAAATGCATTTTACAGTTGTTAAACATTTTTAATTAATCTAATGAAAAATATTTTTGCAATGAAATACAAAAACCCTTTTTCGTAAATTGAAATTTTTAGAGAAAAGGAAAGGAAAAATCAAAGTAATTAAAAAAAGTAATAAGTACAACTTCCCAGCCATTTTTTATGAACTAAAAATAACAAAATCCCCTTTAAAAAAAATTCCCTGGAATTTCCATCCAATCCATCCAACAAACCCCCCCACCCAGACATATTCAAAATCATAATACATAATTAAAATGATTTTATTCCATCTCAAATAAGGTGACAGTATTGTGCAATTTTTCAAATATTGTTATAATTTTTATCACATTAATTATCAATCAACATTTTCAATTTTTCAAATATTTTAGAAATCAACTTTGCAAGAATGATAATCAATTGATCAATTGAAAAATCAAACTCAGATATTTAAAATTAATGTTTCAATTATAATTGACAATTAAAAATTACCTTCAAATTTGAATAAAAAAGTGATGAACTATGATTAATCGACAGCAAACTTTTTTTAAAATTACTCACTAACAATTTTTTCCGATCTCTGCCCCCAAA